TCCGCATCCCTCTAGGTCAGCCTTCAGTGGAATGACATAAGGTGTAGTGGGCCTGACCACCCCCACTTCTCACTTGGTAGCTCCCAGAATAAACTCCCAGGATTCCTTGCTGCGCATGCGCACTAGTCAGTCTTCTGTTTGTAGAGGCTCCTGGCCGAAGTGTACTCGGGAGGGCTTCATCCACCAGACTTCTAGGATGATCTGACAGGGAGGGAGGCTGACCTAGAGGGATGCGGAGACAACTGAACCTGTTCGTCACTGACAGGTCAGTTCGTACAATTCTCATTTGTCTCCGCATTCCCTCGTATGTCAGCCTTCAGTGGAATGACATAAGGTGCCTTTGTAGCCTGAGGCCAGGAGACTTCGCCCAAAGTTGTTGCTCACCACAGGCTTCTTGTAGAATCTCTCCCACGTACTGCAAGACGACCAATTGGCTGTTCTCATGATGTCCTTGGTAGATACTCCCTGCAGTTGTGCTGCTGAAGTAGACGCACTGCGTGTCGAGTGTCCTGTGAATTGACGTGTGTCTATTCCTGCTTCCTTTAAGACAGTCTTCAGCCATCTAGCTATAGTTGCTGACGTAACTGCCTGGTGCGGTTCCACCAGGGCACGAAACAAAAAACTATCACATAACCTAAAACTCCGAGTTCTTGATAAATACACTTTCAAATATCGAACTGGGCACAACCTACAGTCCTCTTCAAACTTGGGCACAATGATCTCCTGAATCACACTGCCCGGACGAGAAGTCTTTGTCAGCTTCTCTACTCGGAAACAAACTCCTCCTGGAATTCTTCGCTTCAGCTTTACGTCCAGGAACGAAAGTGTCTGCTCCCTTCCTGCTGATACCAGTGCCAGTAACATTGCCAGTTTCAGAGTTAGCTGACGAAGAGATAAGGAGTTGGCCGGGGACCAGCGGCGCAAGAAGTCCAACACTTGCCTGACATCCCAAGTGAACGAATACTTGGGTAAAGGAGGTCGCAATTCAAACAGACCTTTCATAAACCTGCGCATCAAAGGATGTTCCCCTAGCGGACGACATTCCAGGGGAAGATGTGTGGACGAGATGGCTGATCTGTACACGTTCACTGTGCGGTACTGGAGCCCTCTCTCGTGTTGAGATAACAGGAACTCTAACACTTGACTCAGAGGAGCACAAACGGGATCAAGATCCCGTCCACGGCACCAGCTACTCCACTTGTCCCAGGCCGAGGAATATTGACGTTGTGTTCCTGCCCTCCATGATGCCAGTAGAATTCGGCTAACCTTTGTCGAAAAGCCGTACACCGCATGTTGTCTCCGCAAACATGCCATGCGGCTAGTTGCAGTTTGCTGCCCTCTGGGTGCGGCAGCCCGGACTCTACCTGGATCAGGAGATGCTCGTGCTGGGGTAGGAGGACTGGTTCTTCACCACCATTTCTAGTAGAACGGGATACCATACCGCAGTGTCCCACACTGGTGCTATCAGGATTAGCTGAGCTCTGTCCTCCCGCACTTTCTGCAGTGTTGGCGGGATCAGCTTGAAGGGGGGAAATGCGTACGCTAGTTCCCACTCGTTCCACCGTAGTGTGAAGGCGTCTGTTCCCATGGCTTCCGCTTCTGGATGCCACGACACGTACTGCTCCAGTTGTCGGTTGGTTCTGCTGGCGAACAGATCCACCCCCTGACTGAGTAGTGGAAACGTTGCCTGAAGGCTCAGGAACGTATTCCGTTCCAGAGACCACTCCGTTGCTACGGAAAAATGTCGAGAGCAAAAATCTGCTCGAATGTTCTCCCTGCCTGCGATGTGTTTCGCTGATAGAGACAGGTTCCTGTCGGCGCACCACTGCCAAAGATCCAGCGTGGCGTTCAGTAGAGCGAGCGACCGAGTGCCGCCCAGCCTGTTCAGGTATGCCACCACAGTAGAGTTGTCCGAGTGAACTCTCACGTGACCATTCTCGATGTCCTTGCAGAAGGCGCGTACTGTCATCGACGCTGCCTGAAGTTCTAGGACGTTGATGTGAGCTCTGCTCTCTCTCTCTGTCCAACGGCCTCCGGTGTGGACGCCATTGCAGAAGCCGCCCCAACCTGTACCTGACGCATCCGATTCCACCTCCAAGTCCGCTGAGGGAGCGAGAATCGGTCGGCTGTTCGCGTTGGCCAACTGGTCTCTCCACCAGACCAGATCCGTGCGGGCGGCTGCTGT